ATGTTGTATTCAATAAAATGTAAGTATAATATAAATGGTTTGTTAGATAAATACGTTATTAAATAGAAAACATCTACTAGGCACCGAATATTAATAAATTATTTATGTTCATGGTAGGGTTTATGGTTTCATATATAGTACCACGTCGTTTATTTTTATTTAATGAAATGCAGTTATTGAATTCAATTTATCAAATTAAATTAAACACGTTTAAATGTGGTTTTCATAATACCCTTATTCATTAATTTGTTGTATTTGTTGATGATGGTAATTATTTTAAAGATCACTTGATTAAAACAGTTGAGTTGTCTTATATTTACAACACAAGACATCAAATGTTAGAATATTATATACAGAGGCGGATTTATCTTTTTTACGGCTATAGGCACCAACAATTTATCGCCTCTATATTAGGCGAAGAAGTTTTATAGTCTTCCGAAATATCTAATCTAAATATTAAATATATAAATATATGTACCTATATCCATTTGAATTTTTAGACTATTTTTTTCGCTTTTATTAATTAGTCTACTTTGAAAAAATATCAATGGACATCCACCAAATTTTATTAAAAACAGATTTTCATAATAGCAGCAAAGGATTATTAATATACAGTCGAATTAGTAATATAGTGTGGCAGTGGGGGTATTTATTTTTCCCCAAAATTCCGATGATAACATATTAATAATATGCAACCATTATTATACAATTATTTTTCGTAAATATAAAGTAAATAATTTTCCAATTTTTTTTCGCATACGATGTTTTCTAATAAAACACTACAGAATTAGCCATCCCCAAATTTTGCCGCCCTAGGCAGCTGCCTACAGTGCCTAATGGGAAATCCGCCTCTGATTATATACGCTCTCTTTCCAGTTGAAAATATATGTAATAATATATTTCAAAAAATTTAATCTAACATGTCTGAAGTTTGTTTTCTTTAATGTTTATTGACAAACTTAAAGAAAATTAGTTTACATTGTCCACGTTATTGAATACCATTTAGATTAATTTGTTTTAAGGTATATATGATGTAAATAAAATAATAATACTATTGTATTATAGTATAAAAAAAAATTTTTAGTTTTATGAAGTATATTTATCATAGGTTAACTGAGCTTTTATTTATAATAATAGAATTACGATTATTTTATAAGTTGATTGATTTATTATTATTATGAAAATATATAAATCATTTCAAAATCTTAGAAAATATTGATTATTATTTTTATTTATTGAAGGTCTTTAGATTCTGAATCCAGTCGATTATGAGGTTTTTCGTGTTGTAACCAGGTTTCCAATTCCATATAACATCTTACTTCAGTGATCAAAATATGGCTTTTGTAAGTTTATAACCACTTCACAGGATGTTGAGGTTGGAGAACGCTTATAACTTTCCACAAATAAATAACTTGTTTTGCCTTTAAGCTCCTTTAATCCGGTATAAATGTCTTACATTAATCCAACTGTGCTGTATTATGTATTTCTTAATTATATTTTGTGTATTTCAATTTAAATGTTTTATGTTATATGTATATTTATGTTACAAAATATTTTGTTTATGTCAATTATTTGTTTATATACACTACAGTTAAATGTTTTGGTATACAATTCAATACATTCAATAAAAGAGAATAAACATTTTTTTAATTTATTTAAATATTTTATTTTATTGAGTTATTATATTTGTAGGTGTATAGTTATAGTTAAAAATTGTTAAATGCATAAATTATTTATTAAATATAATTAATTTAGCGGAAACGATCGTAGTTTGACAAGAATAACTTTGTCATACATTTTAAAAATTACATCTATTTTTTAATGATATTTAATCTTGCATATTTAATTTATATATTAAATACATTTAGTAAGTATCTGTTATGTAGGTAACCTGCTGTTTTGTGTTTAATTATAAAATTATAAGATTTTAATTCATAATTAAGAATAATGATTAAATAACCTTAATAAACATACATACAAACGTACACATTGGCATATTTTTGGAATGGGGGAAGGTCCCTGATCTCGACTCCCCAAAAAGAAAAAAATAGTTCAAAAGTTATATTTATGACTCGTTACGAAGGTATAGAGAAACTCAACATTAATTTATATCATGTGATTGTAATCTTACATAAAATTATTTGTATGATATTATAATTATTAATTCATGTCTGTTTTTTTTTTTTTTTTTTAATATAATAATATCACTTTTTTTTAGTAAAATTGTATATCCCCAAGAAAAAATTTGAAAATACGCTACTGTACATAAATACATATGTATTATTTTTATGTTTTAGTAGTTATGTATATTGATTCTAGTTTTTTAGTTTAACTAAGCATGAAATTAATAACTGTATGTAGTACGAATTGTCTGTTAAATAATAAATATAATAAGAAAATTATTGTTTTGTTCAATAATTTTAATTAACAGAAAAAGTGAAGGGACATAAACTTACGTAAAGTTTATTTTACCATTCAATGAATATCTTATTGTTTAATTGAGCATGAAATACATAGCGTAATTTGACTTGCGTTAGTCTCCATTTTAATTTGAAAATTAAATTTTCTTTTTATAATTTGAGAGAAACTTAATTTACCAAATTTACAATAATGATATGAACCTAGTATAAGGTTGAAAATTAGTATAAAATAATTGTACTATAATGAAATTTGATCATAAGATCGTTAGGTTTGATTTGGTTTTTATTTTGAAACAATAATATAAATGGGTTTCATACTTCAAAATGATGTATTTTTCTGCTGTTAACATTTGTCAGGATAAAACAAAAATACGTTTTGCATTTGTTCATATCATACGTGTAATTGATCAGAAAAAGGATATTTACAGTACCTACAGTAGAGGTTTGTAAAAACTTCAACATTTATTGACAAATTATAAAAAGAAAAAAAAAACAGTTGCACCAAAATATTTAAAAATATGTGTTATAAAATAAACGAATTTTCTTGCGGTAATATATTAAGAATGAAAAAAGAAATAAAACAATTATCTTTTTAGAAAATACATTTTGTATTTTAAACTTTATTACAAATGGTTATTTATATTTCATTCAATCGGTAACGGAGAGATTAACTATTGTGTGATTTTTGCGTTTGTACCCGAAAAACTGTTGGAACATAAAAAGATACGAGATTTTTATCTGTTTATATTATTTAAATATATTCCAACATTCTCGAGATTTACACGTATAATCTTGAAAACCGTAAATCAATATTTTTATACATGTACAAATAATTTATGTCTTTATTTTTTTATTTACAATCTGTGATATTTCTTTACAATAAGCAAATTTGGTAACAATAATATAATAAGGAGATGAAATAATATGGAGTGGGAAGTATACATGTGAGAATTCCCTGCATTACAGCGGGGGGGGGGAGTTTCTTTAGTTAATTAACACAATTCAGGATTCAAAAGATCTCGAAACCAGTATTTTTAATCGGTATGGAGTATTAGCTGGGATGGGTTTACTAGCTAATTTGGTACTAGTGGATTTGTGCAATTAATTGAATTGGTCTAGAATTTTTAGCAGTAGTTATTAGTTGTAAAAGAAACTTTTAATTTTAAGGTATTAATGTAGTGAGATATTAGAGACATATCATGGGGCAGTTGTTATTTAACGAAGAGAGAAAGGCCTGTATGGTACGTATTTCAGAAGATAGTACATATAACTTCTGGGGTTTTCAATATAAAATATGTTTTATTTATAATTTAATGAGCTGTGATTAGAATCCTTTTTAGTGTATATAAATATTTTTTCACTGAAATATGTAGTGACAATATTATAACAATGTGCTTGGTCAAGTGATCAAAACTAAATAGCATTTAATACAGAGCTGTTCGACACAACTATGTGGGAACATTCCACTATAGCACGGGAATATATTCCTTAATGATGTGTAAATTACTTTTTTATCATTTGTTTTTTTGGCGTTTTTATATAGTCATAATGTTCCACATGGTCACATGTTATTCAATTGTTTTGTTTTGAATTATTATTATTGGTTTTTTCTTTGCGTCAACACTTGTTAATACATGTGTTTCCACATATTGCGTTGAATCGGGTTTCAATTATTATATCGTATTACAAAAATGTATCCCCTTTCTTCTTTTGCCCCTCCCACTGTTATTGACCGATTCAAAAACTATATCTAAGATAAATAAAGTGTGTTTTAATTTAATTCGTGTCTTGAATCGATATAGTAAAATAGTAGTATTGTTTTTGTGCAGCTTTCAATGACATTTGTCAGACATATTTTTGTAATAAAGTTATTGAGTGTTTATCTTAGTCTTTAAAAAAAAAAAAAATTAGATACTTGCCCAATTAATCACACTTTATTTGAGGTGTTTATAGGAGTGGAACAATATAAGTCGAAAAATGTGTTTTTGATTTATTTTATCTTAAAATGAAGAAATCACTGCATAAAACATACTTATATAGTATAAAGGCATTAGATAAAATATAAATAATTATACCTCGAGAACAGCATGGTGTAAGTTACCCTAAATAAGCAAAGTAAACACAATCGTTAATTAGAAAAATTGAGAGTAAATTTATGTTTAATTTATTTTATTATTGTTATTTATTTGTGATCATTATTTTCCCAGATAGTTTTTTTCATTACGAGTAGTAACGATAACTTAATTGTTAGTCAAATAAATGTATAAAACAACTGCAACTTCCACTTAGTAAAAATCTTATATTGAATTATTTATATTTGACTAAAACGAACTCGGTTTGGGTAAAGCATAAAAGAGGTAACGTAATAAGTCTTATTATAAAATAATAAACCCGTCATGATTTGATTAGCGCACAAAAGATGTTTAAATTTAATTTTCAAATTTCGCGTTCAAATGCAAGTGAAATTCATAATATTTATGAACGCCTAGTTTTCATTGTTCACGCGACACCTAAGTTGCGTATTGCCGAGACACCTCCTCGCGCGTTTGATATGGGAGCTTATATACGCCCGCAGTTTACCTGCAACGCCTGAGGCCAACTGCAGCTGTTGTTGAGATTAGCAGCCAGTCTGGTATCGGAACAGGGCGAAGCCAACGAACCGGGCGTGTACTGAGCCGTCTGCACCGAAATGATCGTTCCAGCCGGGCACGTGAGTGCCAAGGACTGAGTTTCGCAGCCCACCCTGTGGTACGTTCTGAGCGTACCGGTCAATAACGCTACGGAACAAAAAAAAAAAAAAAAAAATAAAACGTCAAATTATTTATACTTATTTGGTAATTATTATAATCAATTTTTTTTTTTTTTACGTTATGAATCCGCTGTTACTGCAGCGATCCGAAATAATGATATACGAGGTTGGAAATAAATAACTAGTGTTTATGAATGCGGCGTTTTTGGAGAGGACCTGGTTCAGAGGATGCGTTCTCCCACCGGGGCACTCACGAACTTTTGCGTGTGACGTATCAATATTTTGGGCGTTTCCTTTTTATTTACCTAATGGATTCACGCGTTAGAAAGGGCGAACGGGAAGGTGTACGGTTGGAGTGAAGTTATACTATTGCTATTCTTCATCGCGCTCAGTTTCGTTTCAATCCATTTTCACTGAGGTTTCCGTTATGTATGCTTGGTTGCACAATAATGACTAGCAAACTTGTTTGGCCTTACCCAATCCATCGTACACTTGATAATATATATCTACTTTAATCTAATATTTCCTCATTAGTATTCAGAACAAATATTTTTTTACTAAACAAACACAGCTAGTTAACAATCTGCTTTATTTGGATTTTTTAATTTTTTTTAATTAGGTAGTATAGTTATATTTTGTTTTTTCAAAATACTACACTTTTTTTAAATATGTATATTCACTTATGATTGATAATTTTAAGTTTTTATTATATCTATTTCTCTTCCAAAATATAAGAAAATATTACTTCTGAAAAATGTTTACAATTCAAATAACATCGTTCGACGTTAATCTTAATTCATTTTTTTATATAGGATTCTAATAAAATATTATGGAATAAGTTGAACTCAAAAATATATGTATATTATTATTTATGGTAAGTCAAGCGATTTAACCGACCTAATGACTGTTATAAGCATCGACGATATAAATAAATCATCAATTTAATACTTACTACTTAACACTACTTATCAGATGATTATCTGATTTAATCAATTTAAAATAATTAATCAACGTTCAAAATTTAAATTTATTGTCATTGTTTGTAAAATATTGTTTTTCTCTGAATCAATTAAGTTCAAAAACATGTCACTGTTTTAACATAATGCTGTTTTATGTATTTTATAAACAGAAAAGTATATTTATACATAACTTACAGAAATCAGAATACTATGCATACAGTGTATTTTTTGAAATATAAATAAATTACACGATGTTTTGTTGTCTTTTTAACTTAGTTTTTATTTTATTACATTTAATAAATCATTTTTGTATGTAAGGATTTTCAGCGGGAGAATTATTTTTTTACATTTCTTATATATGAAATTTGAAAATCCATAAATAAAATGTTTTTTTTGTATTTCGGTTTTCTCTTTTACGATTCGTAATTATGTACGTCATATTAATAAATGAACATCGTTCTGTAAATCATTTTTAAATATTATTTAGTATTATTTAAAATTTAGTAGGTAAATGCATATATATTTACTATATATTTCTAAAGATTTATGTTTGGGGGCATTACTTATTATTACTTAACTTTTTTTTTTAATCACATATGTATAAATGATTAGGTACTTTATATTAAATCACACAATTAAACAATGTACATAACCATTAAAAAATAATAAAATCTTATCTAACGGTGCGTATAATTTACTGTTAAATAAAATAATACAATACATAGATTAGTTTAAGATGTTTATGGTAGTTCTTCATTTTTGTATTAATCTACGGCTGATGGGTTTTATATTTTGATTATTGACAAGATGATACTGTTAATAAAAAAAAAAGTATTTAAATATTCTTCAGAAATTTTCATATTCATTATTTTCATTTACAATTAAAATTCAAATGACTGGCAAGGCTCAATTGTTAGCTGTAGTTGGAAATCGGCGCTTCCGGCGTTTTGAGATCTCTTACATACTCCAACCGGGTTTTTAGCGATAGGATCTTCAAGTAAACTAACCATGAGTACCAACACATCAAAAAAACAACTCTAACCAACACAATATTAACTATCACTTTTGATAAGGTAGGTGAATCATAATTATTAATGAGTAATGAAAAAAATAATTAGTGTACGAGTATGTCAAATAATGTAAGTTATCCCAATTATAAATAAAACGTTTCAGGAATATTATGATTGAATCCTTTATAGTAATTAGATTTAATCATACGATATCTAATTAAAACATTGTCATTTGAAGAATTCAAGTCAATTAATTATAATTATAATAAACATTCTAAGATTTTAATTGTAATGTTTTTTTTATTAGTTTACTGAATGTGCAAAATATACATCAAAGAATTTGTAAAAATAAAACTATTTTGAATAGGTAACCATAATCTTGATTTGAAAATTAAAATAATTGTATCATAAACACATAAAGTGAAATTAATATTATTTTCATGTGATAATATTATGACTCAAATTTAATAATATGTTCATCCTTAATCGTTGAGTATAAATAATGTAAACAATTTAAATTTAATATTTAACTTAAATTTGAATCTTGGATTATCGAAGCATAATATATACCAGTATTTCTATTTAATTTCATTTTATATTATAACAAGACTATTTCGTTTTATGAGATGAATAAAAAATTACATGGATACATTGAGTGTAACATCAAACTATAAATAGCAAAAATCAATAAAAGCATTTTTGAAATGACAGATGGATATAATGTTTTTATAACAGTGCAAGATGAATTATGTTGTTGTGAATTATTGTTTTCGGATTTTGTATTATAAAATAAGATAAATCAATCAGTTACTTAAAAATCATGAGGTTACTCAATTTAAAACTAATTATGTGTCGTAAAATAAATTATATTATTCTAATATTTTATGTTGAAAACCAAGATGATTTACTTGTTTCCTTTTTTTTGCTATTGAATAATAAATGAAACAACAGATTTTCAATATTAGTAAAGATTTTTCAGAGTATCAATATTTAAAGTAAGAATCTTACTGTAAGATACTATCATTTTTTTTTCAGAAGAAATACTAAGAGAGAGAGTTATTGTTTTTTATAATGAATGTTTTTTTTACGATCACTTAATGTAATTAGATATATATAATTGAAAGATTAAAAGTGTTTTGTGGATTATATTTTGATTTGATTAAATTATACAGTAAATATTCCCGTCTAAATCATAAAATTAAGGTATTACATTATTATACAGGTATCGTTTTATCGCGTGGAATCGTGATATAAATTATTAAATGTACTACATAATATGGACTAATTTCGGTTTAAAAGTATAAAGTATAAGATACCACAGTTTTTTGTAAAAGAAAACAGGACATTAAAATGATTAATTTAATTAAAATGTTAATAATTTTACAATATATTATAAAATGTTGTAATATTTTATTAATTTTGTATGTACTGTGTTATCAAGTATTTTAATGTTTTTAACATATAATATTTGACTTATAATTTGTAGAACTCTGTACGAGCTATTCCACAGGGAATAACTAACCAATTTTCAAATATACTTTTAAGTTGAAATATATTTAAAATATTATGGACTGTGTAGTTTGTTTTACTAACAAATCCATAGCAGACGTATTATACATTTGTGGAATTGTCAGAATTGGAACTTTATTTTTTATTATGTCTTAAATTCTACATACATTAAATTATTGTGTTGGTGGTACTAATTATGTTATTATCCTATATTTTGCAATACACATATTATGAAGTATTATAGTATTTGATAAAACCAAAATTATAATGTAATTTATTTGAATTATTGACATAATTTTTGCACTCCATCAATATCAAAAAATCGAAAATCAGTGTTGAAACATATTAAGGAATAGTTTTCAGGGTCATCTTAAGACATAGGCCCGGGCCAAGGGCCGAGAGATTATTAAGAATCCCAAATTGATTAATAGCTTATCATATAATTTATATGTTAAAAAATACATCTATTCCAATTTATGTAATAAAATAATAAACAATGTAATTAAAATTAAAAATTATGATATGGTTAATAGGTACCTACTCGTAAATTAATTTAGAAATAAATAAATAACTAAATAAAGAAATTCTTATCTTGAGAATTATTATATTTGTAAAGTATGACTGGTTTTGAATTGAAAATTCATCATCAAGTATATAAAAATGTATGTATTTAAAAGCCTTCAATAAATATAGTAGGCCTTGGGGTTTCACATACAAAAACGGCTGCGATAGTTTTTGTGCTTTTAGTTAAGATTTTACATTAGCTACATAGACTTTGAAACTAATTTTATCTTGTTTGTGTTTCAATTACTTTTTTTTTTAATCTGTGTGGTTTTATTTTGAATTATTACATCATTAATTAAATAAACATGCACCATTGTTAAGCTTAAACACAAATAATTTGTATACAAATTACTTCATATTTTTTTATATTCAATTTTAGTATTTCTTTATATAATATATTCTGAAAAATTAACGAGAACAAATAATCATTTATACAATAAAATATAGTTAGACGTAGAAATTATATATTGTTTGATATTTTAGAGAAAGAATCATTTTATTTTATTATTATATACGATTTACAGAAATCACTCTACTTCAGAATATTACACATTATTATATTGTACGTTGATACAATGTATTATATTGGTACACAATGTTTAATACTACGTTGAGTAGGAAGAGATATTAGTTTAAAATTCGTAGAATTAAGTTCGATTTTTTTATTATATTTATATATATATATTCATTATATTGATTTATTCAATAATGTTATGTTACAGCACATATAAAAAATATAAATAAAATACAATTTAAATTGTTAAAAAAAGAAAAACATTTAAGCACCTACTTATATTTTGAATGTGAAATAGCAAGAACGTCTACTATTAATTTTTCTAATATATATTTATATTAAGTGTGAAAGTTTAAAAAGTTTTTATTTTTTTCCATTAGCCGGCGCTTTCAAAATTTATGGCCTATGAAATAAGAGGAATATAGGTATATGAGTAAATGCTGGAAAAAACTCAGTTAATATATAGTTTTAA